CTGATGAGTGTGGTGCCGGAGGCCCAATTTTAATTCCTTTTCCTTTCCGCCCTTTTCTTAAGAGGAAAGGATTGAAAGGAAAAGTGGATTTGACGATGGAGGAGACGAATATGAAGGGGAAATGTCCTCTTTATGTGCGTCTCCTTCTCCGTAAATTAAGGGTAGGCAACGCATCTGCATTTGCGGATGTTTATGGGTAGCGGTTGCTTTTTATTTTGGTGGATTTAGGTGGCTGCTTGCCCGTTTACCACCTTATATCATAAAAAAAATTAAGACTATAAGAATATTTCTAACATTTAATAATACAATGCTAGGAGATAACCTAGTCATGGAGCACGTGAATTTAATATGCATAATATTGTTTGTCACATTCAACTTAAAAAAAAAATTAAATCAAATAAGATTTGTAATTTTGGCAACAATGTTTCAGTGCGACTGGTGTAGCGGTATCGATGGTGGCGGCGCGGCTGGGCGGCATCATCGGCAACGTGGTGATCGCGGCGTTGCTGGACACGTACTGCCCCGCGCCCACCTTCATCGTGGCCGTGCTGCTCGCCGGCGGCGGCCTCATGTGCCTCTTCCTGCCCAACACCACCCGACAAGCTCTGCAGTAGACGACAAATATCGTGCCGCCATCTTTTTACCACAGATTAAAACATTTACCTATTTTTTTTATCGGCTACTAATAACATAAACGTAAACTGCTATTTTTAATAACGTAACGTTTAAATTAACCGTTATTTTATTAACGTTACGTCATTTTACGCTATCTTTCAAAGTTGATAGCAAATAGCATTGTAGCTCGGCTATTTTCAAAAATTATGCTTTATTTCTGCATTCTTTTTTAAAATTTTGTTTTATAGGCACGATATTTAAATTACATTTGTCTCTGCGGCTCGTCTTGTGATAATCGTTTTAAGCATTTGTCATTGAACCAGTCTTCAAATCACTAGAAAGTAACTTTTACTAAGTACTTGTAAATTATACTGTTTTATATCGATGCTTTTAATTTATATACTAATTAAAACAGGCGCTATATCTATATATATCTACATAAACCAAACAAATATCATTTTATGTAATGTATTTAATGTTTACTTTTAAAACAGGTTGCAAACATGTAGTTTTTTATCAAAAGTATTATGTGATGTGAAATGCAGCTGTTAACGAGTTACGAATTTATATTATAAATTAAAATATTGTTGTTGTAGTTTGTAGTTTTTAGTGTAGTCCAGCATATGCAGGTAACGTTACCTACATCTTCATAAACGTTATGTTATAACGGTTTTGCCAATACGAGTAAATCAAAATAGAAACTTAAGTTGAATGAAATGTTTCAATTCACCTAGTATTAAGTTATGAAGATAAATAAAAATATTTTATTGAATAAAGTTCTTTATTATAGTTTTAACTACACAGAAAGTAAATAGCTAACGGCTCCCTCTGTGTGTCGGGCGCTGCGTTAACTCGAATCACTCAAACTAAAACCTTCATGTGCCTTTGACATATTACTGTAACAACATTGTACTTACAATTAATTCTACGATAATGATAATATAACGTTACACAATGTAGCCTAAATCAGTTAACCGAAATGACTTATTGTTGGTTAACAAAATTTGCCAAACCGGAACTGAACATTCTTACACCTGTGTAATATTCATCCACATTCTTGATTTTCCTTGAGACTAAAAGATATAAAAAATATTACAATATACCTAAACTTTTATATATTACACATACGATCCAACAACTGCATTTTAGATTTACAATCATAATTTTCTTACACTATACTTCTGTGGTGAATATAATATATTGACCGCGA